AATCAGTGACTTTTCACATAATCTGAAAATCTTTCTTAAAATGATATCAAGTAAACAGTGTTAGCATTATGATACTGATCTTGTGTCCAGTAAATAGGTAATAATGACATTTTAATTATCTTCATTAACCTGCTAATTACCTAATTAACGTGAATTAATGAACATTATTCACAGTCAACAATACATTTCAAATAATTATATTTTAGCACTTACATGATTGTTTCTGTTTTCTATGGTCAAATTTGTTCTATGTGAAATACAACTACATCAAATAATAAATAGAAAGAACTTATGAAATGAACACATAAATGATCATTTCTAAATTGTCTTGGATGATTGTTATAACAATGGAATAGATTCTGAAGTAAAGCATTTGCAAAATTCATTGTGATGTGTTCTCAAAATGTCATAAATTAAGTTGTTTAATCACACATTAAACTATTCTAATCTCATTTTTATCTAAAATCTTACATTCTCAATTTAAAGCAACTTTCAACTTTTTAAAGATAAAAGGCAAAAATTCTTATAAACCCTTTTTACAAAGCAATAAACCAATCCCTTGTTAATGCCCTATTTAGACCATAATAAGCTAATGTTCTTCTTCCTTTTCTTAACCTCTAAAGTACTTAAAATAAATTTTTCTTTTTCAAACAAAAAAACCAAAAAATGTCTTATTTCCCACAAGGATCTAGTTTAATACTCTAGATGATAATTGGGGCTTTAGGGTTTTTTCTATGTAAAAGATTAGAAATGGGACTGTATTTTAAAACTGAGATCATATTTTCTATACCCCTCACCCCAGGGGATGGCTAGCAAGGGTCAAATGACCAGGGTAGGGGTTAAAGCTAATTATGGCTTATCAAGTTCTTGCATTGTAAAAATTATCTGAGAATCTATAGAGGTCTACAAAAATGACTTTGAAGTTAAATTTATTCTTGGTCCCCTTTGGTGAAGATCATAAAAAGATAAACCATTTCTAAGCAATACATTTTTCGTATCGGCTTGTTGAGAAAGGTCAAAGAAAATATAACAAATTAATATATCTGCATCTTTATCTTTACTATAATTTATATTGTGATCCTGATCTTTTGCAGGAACTAGAATTTTCAGATTTTAAAAACCATTTAAATTTAAAGACATTTATTAATATCTAACTTATAATGTAATATTTCAATGACATACAGTCTAATAAATTACAGGTGATTAATAATAAGATCCATAGTACATGTGGCAATGCATCTTCACAATGTCAAGCCTTGACTGTAATAGCTACCTTTCTTGTATCACTGATATTTGTAAAAGTAGTGATTTGATTGGATTGTACGCTAGTGAATACAGTCAATCATAGTCCTCCATTACACATGCAGCCAAATTGTTTACAGTTAGTGGCTATTATTGACTGTATTAGCCAGAGTACAATCCAATGAAATCTCTGCAAAATTTTCAAAAACAAAACTCTGTGAAACAAGAAAGGTGACTATTTCATTCAAGGTAAAAGACAAAGTAATGTAATAGCTTGTCATTATGAAGATAGCAGCAATGATATGTGAGCAGGAACTGGGATCTCCAACTATTATAAATCTTAAACTAATGACATAATAATTCAATAAAGAACTCTTCAAAATAGAGGAAACAAAGGCTATATATACACAACGGATACAACTCCAGACCTTATAGAACTCACATTTTAGAAAGATTAACAATAGAGTATATAGACTCTTTATACAACCTTAAACTTCATACAACATTCTCTTACAATAGATATATACTTTCTTTATTTCATAACAAACTCAATACAAAGTTTTAAGGTCCTTTGATATATTGAGATCTCACATAAGAATACCCTAGGGCTCCCTTTAAAAGAGCATTAAACTCTTAGACCTCTTCCTTATGACTTAATATTACAGCATAAATTGGGGAGGAAGTATATAAACACTTTATTAAGGTTTGAAGTCTTTGAATTAAAAAACTAAACAGGTAGACATTGATTTAAGGGTCCAACAAATTTTTATTTTTTTTCCAGAAAGTCAAAAGACTATCCCTCAGAAGCCATGAGAATAATTTCTAATGGGGAAAATATTTATAAACCTTTTTTAATATTCATTTGTTAACAGTCATTGATAAAAATAAACAAATGCTGTAAAGGATATAGTACTTAGGCAATATATTGAATACAGTCCACCTTCAATATCACTTGGACTAACAGAACAGTTGGTGATGATGGTCAAAAGGGTTGCCAATGGTTCCAATAGGACAATAAACCAAGTAAGATAAAAGACAAATTTTGTTCTTTATTCTTCCCTAAATTACTAGCCAAAAATTGATCAATTAAGTTGAACCAAACAAATCCATTTTTTTTCTTACATACAATAAGAGGTGTAAGACAGATTCTAATTCTAAAAATAATATTTTGACTTGAAATAGTAAGTATCCAACCTTTAAATTCTCATATTCAATAATTATCTCTGACAATAGTCTGGCATTCTTTCCTTTAATCTAAAAATTACCTTAACAATATCACACCAATCAAAGTCTAAATAGTTCTAGAAGTTTCCTTTGCTGATAGTTATTTTATTATGAAAATGTTGGCAGAGATTCCAAAATCAAGTCTGGCACATTTTACAAAAATCTATCTTCAACTTCATAAATGTTAATAAAAAAACTTAGCAAAAGTTCTTCATTGATAATTCAAATTTCCAAATAAATACAAAATGTTTATATATATATATATCTTATCTATTAGTCTCTGTAATTAGCAATTAGAAAATAATTAATAGCAACAATGACATTCATTATCTTCTGTTGACATTTTTATTATACAATAACTGACAAATTAACAAGTCTGCAACAGACATACCCTCAATAAATATACTAGAGTCGTGTCCCAAATTATCATCCTATAACCCTCTATTATTATCTATTACCCCTTTTGCACTGCAAAAATAATCAGGTTCTATCCTATTAATTTAAATAACTTTTTTGGCAATCTGAAAGCGACTATTCAGATAGGATTGCAGTGCGAAAGCAAACCAAACGGAATAATCCAGTTGTCAAATACTGTATAAAGTGCAGGCAATGAAAAGTAATCCCAATAGGAACATTTAATGTCACTCTGAAACCTTGTAAATCCATAAACACGGCTTAACATTAACCTAGGCATTTATGTAAGTAATTTTGTGTCAGTTGAAACGGATGGTCTCAAGAGAATATGTTCAATTTGTATTGTATTGTATTTTACCAAAATTTCAAAATATCTTTGTTTGGGTTCCTAGTAATTCAAACCAACTAATTAAAAAACATCACCTAATTAAACCAGACATCAATATTTACAGAAGGCCCTAGACAACCCTAATTCTTATCATAATATTTACAGGGTTTTCTGTAACCTAGAAGATTATCTACCTCCAGTGACAGACAGTAGTAATACTATCATTTACATAGATTAATTACAGTTTAATATGGCACACATGGGAAACATTTATATCTCAAAACATATGTAAAACTTTCAATATAGCTTCTATTAAATATGAAACATGTTTAACAATTGTGTTTCTGTGTCATTTTCACATATTTGGTCATGTATTGCTCTGTTACTTCTCAATACATCCTTATATAATTAAAGGGAATATAACTCAAGAACTGATCAAATCATATCCAATCTTTTCTTGAAATCAAAAGTGACTATTATTTTGACCGTTGAAATATTTGCCCATAGACAACTGCTAACCCACACTATTAATAGAGGGAATAAAACTCATGAAATCATAAAATCATATCCCACTTTTTTCTTAAAATCAAACATAGCCATTAGTTTGACATATGAATAAAGTGCCATCATTATTCAAAATTCTTTAAGAAACCTGCCAAAATTATGATAAAGCAAGCATAAAGTTTAACATGAGGAAAGTGAAATGAACCTTGAATCTTTTCATGGGGTCAAATGAGGCAAAGTGGCATTATGAGGGCCATATGAGCGTGAAAAATAGACATAGCTTGGCTTGAATGGATATGACACTAACAGATTCTAGTATCAATCTAGAGGTTTGACAACTGACTGTATTAAAATTAAACTGAGAGATTGAAGTATTTTACACATGACCTAGGCCAGTGCTTCAATAGCAAATCTGTACAGAGGAGATTAAGGAACAAACTGTCAAAATATTTATCACAAAATCTGGAAGATGCACATGGCAAATAATAATTCCTATATCCATGAGTATAATTTTTAGATATATATTTTAAATAAAAGTTTCTAAACATGAAGATCTTCTTTGCACATTTTGAATTAAAGAATTTTTGATAATAACAATTTGAACAGTATTCATCACTTGAGAATGTTACCTGTATGTGTAATGAAACGTTATGTTCAAAAGGAATAAATAGAAGTGTATATCTATAACTATTGTTGTCTCTTAACAATTTTAATATAATAACAATCAATTGTAAATACACCAATTCTTGAATATGAATTTAGTTCAAAGACTCTGTCCATACTTTGCTGCACAGTCAATTTATTTCATCTTCATTATTACCCAATAAATATTATTTGTCAAATTATCAAAAATATTTTTCTTCTATTATTCATTTCTTTTTCTCTAAGAGTTAAAACTGACCAAAGTTCACATCAAAAACTTTGGCAGCTGAACTGTAATCACTGAATGAATAAAACTGTTACAAACTAATACTAAGCAATGATTGATAGAGTGACTAAAACTGAGAAAGAATGAATGAAAAGAAATGATTGGACAAGAATAGAAATGGTCAAACATCTATTGATAAGAATTGACCAATCACCAATCAGAACTATCAAACTCTTGAACTATTTTAACCAATCAGTGAACAGTATTAACAATCTGATAGTGAAATCAACCAAGCTTGACCAATGGACAAAGGATGGCAGTAAACCAATTGATATGTGGTCAAAAGATCACCCTGACCACTGGACACTGTATAAATAGCCTGAACTCAGTTAAAGGGTCATCATTTCTCTTTGGACATTACTGCTGTTAACATCTTGGATATTTGAACAATTTTACTTGTCTTAGAATAATTTCATGTTGTTTGAATATTGAAACAATATTGGATTTTGTACTACTGTTATACTAAACACAAGTTTTGAAACTTCTAAAAAGTCAAAAATCTAAAAAAAACTAACATAAATTTTATTCTGAACGATTTATACCTAGTGATTTACTTAGAGAAGTTGAAGACATTTGCAAGAACAGCGAAAATGGTGCCAAAAGTAAATTTAAGACAATTCCTGTGTTTGTTAACAGTTTTTATCTACAGTATCTCAGCCAACAAACAGAAACATAGAAACTGTTTTCAGAATTTTAATCATAAAATTCAAAGATGTCTGGAGCCATTCTCTAAATTATTCCGAACATATCAACAGACTCAAGATGAAAGTTCCTTTTCCAATATTGTCAAAAAACATATTTGCTTGTAAGTATAATTATCATTATCATTTTCATAATTTATTTAGATTTTTTCAAGTCAAAACTATCAACTTTTCTTGACAGTTTTAAAATAGTACTGTAAAATCCCCAATAAGCTTCCAATTATATGCAATTTGATTCTCTCAATGAGCAGTATACTGTTGTATAAATTTTGACATTCTTTCTCCATTCAAAAATACCATTCAAATTATAGTTATTATTATCTGTTTTGATTCAAATGGTCATAATTATTTAAAGGTGTGAAACACATGTCATAAGTCAAAAAATGGCATGACCAATTTTCTGTTCTGAAGGGATAGACCAAGTGTCAGTAGTCAGCAACTGAAATACCAGACTCACCAATTTTCTGAACGTAATAATAGGTGTGAGTTTGACAAGGAATAATTATAGTACAACTCCCTGATATCACATTATCATAACATTACACTGAGACTAACAGAGACTAGGGAACACCTGATCATTATCATCCTTACAACTAATTTACTGACAATACAATACAATTGACTAATCAGATATCAGATAACAATGGAATGGATTTGACTTTATATTTGGGAATTAAAACATAAAGCATATATCATAACCACAAATTTTGTAGATTTTTTCCATTTTAAGTCTTACAAAATGTTTATAATAATTTGTTTATATTTTTCAGTGAATATGAGAAGATGTTACTATGTATGCACTCGACCTTGACCCATTGTCCAACTTTACGAAATATAAAACGTGTTCAGGAGAAACTTGGAGCTGATTGGGTGAACAATGTGAATGGATTATGTCGTATCCCAGCCACCCCCCACACGGAGGTACATGAAGTTGAACCACAACAAAATTCAATTCTTAACCATTACGAATCTCAAACTGTCAAACCTGTAGTGAATAAGCCACAAGAAGAGGTTTCCGAAAAAGATATTTCCAAGGAACAAATTTCCAATGAAGATTCTGAAACATGGGAAATGTTTGAAGCAAAAGACAAAGTTTTAGAAAAGCAGCAAAATGAAATTTGGAATAAATTAAAAAATACATGGCGTCAACGTGCTAAAATTATGAAACAGCGTCTCCATCTGGTGCTGAAATCTTCAAACAAGGGGAATAACTACAATACATATAACATTTTCTACAATGTAGTGCCAAGAAGTGTTCATGTACCCCAGCGACTTCGAATTGGTACAAAATTCGTCTCACACCAAGCACATTCCAGTGCATCCACAAGTGACATCACTGTTTCAGTTTTTATGCTGTGTCTTAGTCCTGTTCTGATTGGATTACATTGATCATGTGACTGTTACCTTGGTGATGGAATATATACAATACTCGGTAAAACCATTGTGATAAGTATGGATTTTAAATTTGAATAATATTTCAAATTTTAGACCAAATGAATTTATTTTATTTCTGTGGAAATGTTTTTATAAAATTATGAAGGATTAAATCCAAATATGTCTCAAGTGTGTCTCAAAAGACATGAAATTTTTATGTGTGTTATTGAAGCGTTTAGTGTGTGAGACTATAAATGGTGTTTTTAAGTGTGTGAATGAATTTTGTTTTAACTTTCAATTGTGGAAATATTTTGTTAAAATTGTTAATTTATATTTTGTTATGAATAAAGATTGTTATTTCATATTTTATTTATTTTGTTTTATTTTCTATCATCATGTCCAAATTGATATAAGATGAGATAGATGTTAAGATTGTATTTGCCAATATAAAATAGAACTTACCCTCTCAGCCACAATGTTTGGTATTTCTGGTAAGAAATCTTCTACAATAGTTCGATATAACGCCTTCTCACACTTCACTTCACTCTCCTTAAAGAACTCAGCTAAATTCTGCCAGTCTTCTAGAGTACAACAAACCATGTGCCATCGTGATGGTACCTGAGGTTCTTCCTCTTCCACTGGCTTGGGCTCTTCTGCAATGATTGAAGGGGGATAACTCCAGATAATACTATATGTATACAGTTCTTAAAATTTTATCAGTAGAATAGAATTTTTATCTGATCATTGGAGAATTAATAGGGAAAATTTTCAACAATCTAATTTATGAAATATATGAGCACTCCTGAAGCTTAATATATCCTTGGAAATTGTAAAAGTGTCATGCAGTTCTATATTTTAGTCAACCCATTATGTAGTATCTAGTTGTGAATGTGTTGGACTTTGATATTGGACAAATTTGAATTCCTAACCATCAATAATGTGTTCACTGCATCCACAAAATGTGATAAGAGGACTGTGTAATTCCCAAGATGGGCTATCTGAATATTTCTCCCAAGTATCAGCCTACATTACAGTAATGACAATATGCAACCTATACAAATGTACAAAAGAATTGAAAAGTCTTACCATTTGCCACTGGTCCAATGGCGTCAGTCTCCACAACTGAGGTGTCCCCTTCCTCCATAATCTCCTCCCCATAGTCATTAGTCTCCACTTCAACTTCTGTAGCAACCTGATCTAGTTCTGGAACATATTCCTCCAATGCTTCACTCTCTTCGTATCCTTCCACCTCATCTAGTACCGCCTCCATTATCTTAGCAACTTCAGAATCTATAACATCATCGTTTTCTTCTGCCTTAGATTCTGAATCGTCAATTTGGATTTTTTGTTTTGGATCTTCAATTTTTGACTCTTTTACTTCTGATTTCGACTCCATTTGCTCAGATTCAAATTTTTCATCAACCTCTATTTTTGACTCATTTTCTACTTTCATGGCATTGTTTTCCTGCTTCATGATGTCATCTTTTATTTGGGACAAAGCATCAACTACTGCTGAGGAAATATCTGCAATTTCTTCAATGGCCGCTTTAGGAGCAAATTCCTCTTTGATGATTTCATCTTTAATTTGGGTCAAGGCATCAACTACCCCTGAGGAAATATCCACAATTTCTTCAATGGCTAACTTCAAAGCAATTTCATCTTTGTCCTCAATTTCCAATTTAATCTGGGTTTTATCATCAATTTCTGTCTTAACTTCATCTTTGATACCAAGTTCTTTTTTGACTCCATCTTTATTCTCTTCCAATTTGACATCACCATTTTGTAATTCAGTTTTTATTTCCAATGGTTTTTCCTTTTCTTCCAAGATCAATGGTTTTTGATCATTGTTGCCTACTTCTGTGTTTGATTCTTTTACATCTACAGAACTTTGTGATTCAGTTTCTAATTTTATAGCTTTTTCTTCCTCGACTCCATCAATTTCAGCAACATGACCATTTTGGTTTTCATTTGTCACTTCTGCTTCCAAACTCTTTGGCGATTCTTGTTTTTGTTCGTCATCATTTACGTCAGCCATTTCTTCATCATTACATTGTTCATTCTCAACATCATCATTTTGTTCATCATCAACATCATCATTTTGTTGATCATCAATGATGCCAGTAAGATTTTCGACAGCAATGCGCTTACTTCTCCGAGAGAGGCGTTGTCTTATCTCTGTGGAATTTTCAACATTCTCTGTAGAATCTTCTTTACCTAATTTTACCTTTTCTTCAGCAGCAAGTTTTTTAGCATCTCGTTCTCTCTTAGCTTGTCGTTGTTCTTTTCTGATTAAAAGAAAAAGACCCAATAAATTGTGAAGAAAGGTTGATAATACATCAATTTGAGTGAGGAGTTAAAACCAATCATTTTAAACTTGTACTAAATTACAAATTGCCTGTTGACCTTCATTTGTCAGATATTTTGTAAAAATACAAAATCATTTTTCATTTTCTGTTCAAAAAGAAGAAAATAAACTCTACCTTTTTAATTTTCTTTTCTCAGCTCTTTCTTCTCTCTCTGTTTTCTTTTTTTTCTTTTTATGTTTATGTTTTGGACTGAAATGATAAATAGACAATCTATCATTTAATCTGACAATTTTAGCCTTGCTTTAGCGCTTTCTTGAGTTTCTATGGCCATAGCAACTGGATATTGAACTTCAGTGATGATAATCACAAATAGTAAGGAAAGGAGCAAAAATGGGTGAAAAATGTCTTTTTCTTTTTGTTCCAAACTTCCAAGCACACAGTGGATATCATTTTCTTTTCAATGATTAAGGGGAAATAACTAACAACTTACGATTTTTCTTCCTCTGGTTCTTTGGGTGGTGGATCTTCTTGGTATAATCTGGTACCATAGAAATACCAATAGGTGATGCCATTAACATCGTGACCTAATGGTTCTACTCTCATATTGTCTCCATCGTGACCCTAGAAATAGAAATACAAGGCTCAAGTTGTAATGAGCAGGTCATATATTTGTACCCTTCAACTTTCTCTTGAACTCATTCACACATTCATACTTTCTGTCAATATGACTGTAAAAGAGTTTACTTGAATATGACTTGGAAAAATACCAATTTGTTTCACATGACCATAATTCATTCATAATTAGCTAAATTAGACGAGAATTACCAGCAGAATTCCAACGATTGACAGATCAAGAAAGGTCAAAAAGTATTATTTTGTTTATCCAGACTGTACATACATGGACATTAAAATTTATGATTGGTTAAAAATCTTAATTATATGCAATGAGGACATAATGATATGATTAAGAATATATGATAATTGATTAGGAACACCAAATAATCAAATAATTTGCTTAATTTGACACTAAAAAATAAGGAAACCCATCTTTAAGTATGATATTTTTCAATGTTAAATTCCAAATTTACGACTGATTCTTGTAGTAAAATTTCTTATGGAACAGGGCCAGGGTGTTATGTTTTTGAAGATGTGACAGTAGGGTAGAATTCCTGTATTATGTAACATATTACCTTACCTTCAATACTTCCATAACATCTTCTGATTCCAATCTAAAATCACATAAATCATGTAGAACGTCCACTTTCTGACGTAATGATAACTCGAAGTATGTTTTATCCACCAGGGGATTTCGTTTAATATTACCCATAGCATGTTGGTAACGGAATATATCTTTTAGATATTTGTCATAATCTACCACTCTAAAAATGGAAAATTGAATAAAAATTATAATTTAGAAAATTGAATGAAAAAAATGTTTGTTTTTGGAGTTAAAACAAGAAAATTGAATTTTAAATTGTTTTCGCACAATGAAAATGTGTTTTAAGATGCTGCAATATGTTATTTTGACTAGTCTCAAAGCTCAATATATTAAAAAGAGAAGCAAAGTGTTAAAAAACTGTCACACAGAAGCGATAATGAATGGGTGTTTAAAAATCAAGGGCGATCTTATACTCACGTCAATTTTTCTCTGCCATAAATACCTTCCAATAAACTACAGAGTAGATCTAGAATAACCGGGCTGTCACCAGGGGAGACTGCCTGCAACAATGCTTCTTCTAAATCCTACAATATATCAAATGTTGGAAAATCACTTGAAACTGGGAGAGCAAAACAGCAAAATGAACAACATACATATCTTCAGAGAACAACAATTTGAATTGATCCTATAGGGGACTGACAATTACAATGAAGAGGTAGTTCAAATTTATAGTTGAAACTTTGCTCAAACAATTGAAATCTTTAAAACAGATTATTCCAAAGAGTTCAAAGATTGAAGAGAATTCTCTAAAAAAATTAGTATTCAATATTCCCTATAGCCTATAATTAGCATGACCTTACATCACAAGTCAATCTTCAACATGTGAGACCTATCACAATGTTTTTTCTAGGTAATATTTTCACTCTTCATTTTATCTTATTAAAAGGAAATAACTCCTGTTTTCATATTTTATGGAAAAAATTATCCCCCTTTTATACTGCAATTTACATGCATGTTTAACACCTTTACAACTTATTTTAAAACAGAATCTTAAAATATGCAATTTAAGTTTCATAAAGTAGGCCTAGGCCACAAAAATTGAACCCGCATACCAAAAGCGTGTTTTATAATCAAACAATTTGAGACACCAGCCAGACATGACTGATCAACATTTCAAAATATATTATATCTAGTGAAGAAGTTACACTCATTTAGTCAAAAATATTGGATTTTGTTATTAAAGGGAGGTAACTCTTGTTTAAATAAACCATTAAAAATTATGTCCCCTTAATCCAAATTTTTTATCTTGCCAAGTGTACTTATATTTACCCCTTCATTCTTATTCCCCTTTAAATTCGATATTTGACTGTCCATATCTGCCAAAGGTAAGAAGCCAAAAAACTGTCTTCTCTAAGCAAATCCAAAGATGACATCATGTGAACAATTGTTCTAATTAAGCCCATTAATATATAATAACTATTTATTGCACCACAATTCTCTCCAAAATTGGCAAAATTTTCAATATCAAGAGAAATATTCTTGATAAAAGATGACAGTAGCAATGAAATGCCCCAATAAGGAGAAGACTATTGACAGAAAACTACTGTGGTCTGAAATCTTGAATGGTGCAACTTGACATTGTCAAGAGTTTTTGTCTGAAAACTGAATCTTGAATTGAAATTAGAAATGAAAGTTACAAATCGCTGTTTATTTTAAATCAAAAATATGAAATCATGACAACCTTCGAAACAATAATGTGCACTATTAGATATACATCGTTATTAGACTTGATATACGACTACATTGTCTGTCATTTTAAAGATACAGCCAGACAAGACTGGTACATACTGTCAAATACATACTTAACACCGTCTAAATGAGAAATTGACAAATTTAAATAAGTTTCATCACAAAGACTGGTTCAAACCTGACAAAATTATAGCAATTTCCTATTGAAGGGAGCTAACTCTTGTTTTCTTAACCCAATAAAAATTGTTTCCCCTTAATCCAAATTTGTCTTGTCAAAAACTTTACAAAAGTCAATTTTAACCCCAATTTATAATTTTGGTCCTTAAATTTCCTTATGAGACTATCTGTGTCCCGCAAAACCCCAAAAACATGCTTCGCAAAAAATCCAAAGATGACATCATCCACGCAATTGTCGGAAATCTAATTGAGCCTCGAAATCTGCCTGAAGAATCAAATGCATTAATGCAACTTTCCTTAAAAATTGATTCTGACACATAAACAGGGAAACTTGAATGAAAAGTTCTCAGAATTCTGATATTTCTGCATATAATGGCTGCAGGATAATTTGCATAATATATGCCCAGCTATTATCAACAAAACAACAGGTTTAAGATACTTTGTATTACAAAATATGACAATTTAATAATAATATTATGAAACAAATCATGAAATATCAGTGATAATGCCCAGTTGAATGGTTGATATACCCCAGTGGTGCCCCAGTTACTACATTGTATTAATTACAGAGTTAATAATGCCCTACTTACCTCTATATCCAAATCTGACTGCTCAAATAATACCCCACGAAATAAGGAGCAAAAATGGGCAATGCATGGTACTTTCCACCATGATCTTAGCTCTGAAATGGTGAAAACGAAATTGACATTTATCTCTTCGTATCGAAACTCTAATATTTTCACGATGAGGAAGAAATTAAATTGATTTATCCAGAAACTTGTTTCTTTCTTCCTTACTCACCTGCAAGGGGATCCATTAGAAATGTTTACCAAGATTGCCCCCCTTAGCTGAAGGCGATCTGGTATTTCAATCTTAAGATTGTCTTCGGGAGTATTTGGTTCAATATTAGAATTATAAAAACAATCAATTTCCAATCACATCCTATTGGAATAACGGTTTCATTTTCCAATTTGAAAGACCGCTATAGAATTCAATGTGAAGCCATTTTCTTTTAGTTTACTCAACCAGAGTGGGACGAGTTGCATTCTGGGTACGAATAATCCAATATGGCGGAAAATGTCGATAGATAAATTTGTTATTGCATTTTATTTCAACAATTTTTGCAGGTGTTTTCTTGTTGAATTACCGTACAATCACAGTAGATAATACGATCTTCAGGTAGTTATGAGTTTTGTTGTCATTTTTAACCATATTAATGGACTGTTTTTGTGAAAATCCACATTGAATTCTTGAGACTGTTATGACTTGTTTTGGTTGGTGGATTTGGAACACTCAACAACTCGCCTCGGTACATCTAAATCAATGACATTTAGCTAATGACGCCAATAAATGAAATCTTCATATAACCATGATTGTATTTCTATCTTCATTTTGACCCATATTGCACAAAAATGGAGATTATTTGCTCTTAGACTTTTCATAATTAACCATTATGCTATTTGTGTTTTTATTCTCAAACAAATCTGTTTTGACTGTGTCAACCAGTTCAAAGGGCAGCAACTGAACTAAGCTAATCTACCTTCATTTGAAAATATTGTTGTAATAAGTGAACTTGTTTCTTATTTATTATAAATGCTCAGAATTGCTTGATATATTGAAATTTGACTTTTTTTCTTTGCCATGGCCACAACATAAATGTTGACGATTGTGAGCATGGTGCTATACAGGTTGTATTTAAGCTTACCTCGGCTAAAAAAAAGAGAACATTAATAACAAGTCAGCAGAAGGTTTCACTTTTATTTGATTGTAAGGGAACAGAAATCAGATTTTAATTCTGAAAGTGTTATGAATAGTGCTAATTAGCTTATGTCAGTAGAATACAAAATTTGGATAAATACTAAGCTTAGCTAGAGATATTTGACATTTGTTCTCATATGTCTTAGTTTACTGTAATTGTAGATGTTAGTTATAACTAATACCAAAGTCAAATGAAAATCTTTTTCACTTTTAAATGGCAGAAAATCTCATGTGTACTTAGGCTATATTTGCCCTAATTGTTGTTATTTTTATAGTTTTTAAGAATATGATGGATCAGTGGGATGTTTCTTGATCCTTGAACTCATAAAATTGACTAATTAGAATGTTTAAAAAAAAATTCAAACTTTTAGTTTTGGATGATTTTATTTTTTAGTTTATTTCTATGAGAGTCAGTTATGGTTCAATGCATTATGCACTATAGTAACCTACAAGTATATTCAATTTGTGGCTTATTAATTGGGAACCATAATTAAATGACAAGTGGGGTGGTTATTTAAACTAAATACTAACTAAGTTCACAAATTACCAGTTATATGTGTTTGAAGCCAGATATCTAACAAACTGTATATAATTATCAATTGTTTCTATATGAGATGATAGATAGCTATACATCTGTTGCATAAAAATAATTGATATTCCTTACTGGTTGCTGTGTAATAAGTTTATTCTCATATCACTCTTGTCTGATGAATTGAAAATTTTTATGAATTTATTAATGTGTTAAATCATTCATTTATATAGAATGACATTGGAGATATCCTACAAAATCACATATAAATGTAAAACTCTGAGTAACTACATGATTCTATTTCTATATTGGTCTCCATTGAGTACTATTTTAACAGTGGTATTGGTATTTTTTCTATATGCTCTACAATTGATGTTTTGAGTACTATTTTAACAGTGGTATTTCTATATCGCTCTACAATTGATGTTTTGAGCAGTATTTTAACAGTGGTATTTCTATATTGCTCTACAATTGATGTATTGAGCAGTATTTTAACAGTGGTATTTCTATATCGCTCTACAAGTGATATATTGAGCAGTATTATAACAGTGGTATTTCTATATCGCTCTACAATTGAGCACTATTTTAACAGTAGTTTGTCTATGTCACATAGGGTTGCAATATTTGCTTTACCAGCTAGTAGAGCCTTATATCAGATAAAGCACTTAAAAGATTCAAGATCTGATGTCTAGATCTATTGCAATAGAATGCTGGAGACGTTAAGTCTTAAGCTCTTATTAAAGATGGGTTTTGGCATATAAAGTCAAATAAGCAGATTATTATATGAATGAATGATAATAAGGAAACCCATCTTTATCTTCTCACCCGCAGTTATGCTTGATGATATCTATACTATATCTGTGCATGAGGAAATGTCATGAAAGTGAAAAGAATCTGTATTAATATGGCATTTTATTGAATTGTTACAGCAACAATATGTCAAATTCAAATTTGTGATTTAATTTGAATAAATTTAAAATATTATTTGATACTGTGATTGGTTTGTTGATTAAAAGTGATATGACTGCTGTTCATAAGGCTGTATATGTCAGTCATGTCCAGAAGTTCAGTTCAAATTGCAGACTATCACAATGTCAAACATCAAGTATAGGTTTGACATCACATTTTTTTTATGACAATTCGATATTGTGATACGAGCCCATA